AATTGATTAGCATTAAAACAGTTTATTGATACCTCTGATTAGCATGTTTTCAATCAATTTGATATATATATATATATATATATATATATATATATATAGCAGTAACCAGTGGATTTCAACCAGGTATGTTGGGAGATATCAACTCACTTAAGACATTGGTGAATGGTTGCTCAATTTCGTGGATTGGTTGAAGTTAGACATTAACACCATCAGATGCCGGCTCAGTGGTCTATTGGTTAAGTGCTCTGGCGCGAGACTGGTAGGTTGTGTGTTCGAATCTCGCGAGGCGGGATCGTGGACGCTTACTGCTGAGGAGTCCCACAATAGGACGAAACAATCGTTCAGTGCTTCTAGGTTTTCCATGGTGGCCCAACTTCAATTGACTCATGATCTCCACTATGTAAATGTATATTATCTGATTATTACCGAAAATTTAAAAAAAATTCAAATAGAGCAACATTTTTTCATGTCATCAATTAACTGAAATTTGATTACAATTATGGATACGCATAGGATATAATCAATCTGCGAAACATTTACTGTCATTATACTTACAGTTATACACATAACGATGTGTTCGTTTTAATCATTCTCAAATTTCATTCCATTCATAAATAATTTACTGTGTAATTTATATTAGTATTAAATGATTTGTCTAATTTTTGTTTTCTAAAAACTCCCAGATATTACGTAATTACATGTATAAATATCACTCATTGTGCTACTGACAAATTATTCCAATACTTGTACATTGAGCTTCGTTTTTTCGGTGGAAAAAAATACAACATAATTTTCTCGTTTTTTTAATGACCTTATTGACAATTGAACATTTGTATTCAATCTTTCATGTATCGCAACAGATGAATTATATCTCTTTTTTTAAATTTCAGCTTTATTTCCTATAAAATGAATAAAAACAATTGAAATTCAATAGGTTTTATGTGGCTAAATAAATTTCTTTGCTTTTTTAAAGTTAAATTTTCTTTCTCATATTGTAATGTTTAATTCCTCAAACAATACTTACCCATACTGTTCCACGATGATCTGGGGATAGAAGTACACATTCCATGAACTAACTTGAGAGGTTGGAGATGAATATCAGACTAATTTTCTACTCTGTCGAAACACGGATTATTACTTATATCAAAGTTTACATGAGTGTACAACATTAAGAATGGAGAGGACATTATCTCACCCTCCTGCTCACAGAATATATGACTAGGTGTGTACACCTGTATTTCAGGCATACCTATAATGTATACTTGGTAAAGTGCTATCACAAATAGTCACCACACTTTCGTTAGTTGAGCCATGAGTAAATTCAAAAAAGCCAATCTTCTCAATTGTATGTATTTGGGAGAGGAGCGAGGTGTTTAATTTGAGAAAAATCCTATGAGATAATACTCTTTCAGACCATTTTCTAAAATTCCAGTCACATTACATTAATGTTGTGTAATGCTGGTTTAGTGAATATTGAATATTCAAACTTTGAACCAACCATATGCATATTCGAAACACCAACCACGTAAATACTTATTTTGGTCTTACTAGTCCGATGACATCACAACGAAGCTTTATATAAACTTATTTAGCTCAACACTAAATGTATATATCATCTAGTTCTATTAATTTTCTGATTTGAATGAATAACTATTTTGTCATGCTGATTTTTAGTCGTTAAACTTCAAAGTCAATCAGATTGGAATATTTTATCTTTGTGTTCAGAATATGGTGGATGTAGAGGATAGTTTTAATTACCCTCAAAAATACCGTTGAATGATGTTGAGTTGTATGGCAATCTTAATTGCTTAAATCTGATTTTCTGTCATAGTTTTCTACAAGTTACTAGAGCGACAGAGAGGTGAATTTAAAATAATTTAAAAAAAATTACAAATAGCAGTAATGTACATTACTCATTCACGATACATTACTCGATTATGTGCTGCTTTTTGTCTCACCGTTCTCCATTCAACCTACCTGAGACAATCGAACCTAAACAAATACGTGTTCCAGCCAATATATCTCAATTACGTCATCATGATATCCAAGCTCAACCGCTACATCAATGTGGCAGTTATAGTTGGAACAATATTTACAGTTGATAGATTACTGACCAATGTCATGTTTATTATGTCATTCATGGTACATATCAAATTATATTATAAATACGTCTCAGTCCTACGAGAAGTTAGTCACGATCTGAATAGCACAATGCTAACTTCACTGACTATGAAACTGGATGATATTGGATTGAATCTACTAAGGAACACATCAGTTCTCTTAAGATTATTGCTACATTTTACTAATAAGTACCAAATAGCATGAAACCTACATCCAGGGTTTTTCTTTGTTAATCACTTTCAACCTCTACTTTTCATTTGGGATAATATCTATTTAGTGAATTGAATTTATTTATGTTTAGTTTACTAGAGTAACAAAAATAATACAAGTTCTTTCATTTATTATAATTCTTGTTTAAATTAAATATCTATCATGTGATTTATTCTTGAATTGATATTTGCTTCTTCATTTTCTTCATACGAAATTAGTAATAATAATAATAATAGTAATAAATAGAATAAATAATAAATTTCTATATTTAAATATAATGTTTAATCCAATCCAATCATGTGGCTCACAGATGGTGTACAATCCTCTCTATTTTTTTTATTGTTCTTCTGTATATCCCCTTATGAAGTCGACAAGAATACAATAAATGTATCAAATGAATGACGTAATACTCATGTATCTTATTTATTTATGTCTATTCTTCTGTTTTTTTTAAAAAAAATGTAAATTAAAATAATTTTAAGTATACATTTCTGCTATTATATATATATATAGTGTTTTAATGAAGTACTATTATATAAAATACACTTTTGAATTATCAGAAGGGGTTTATGTGGAGATCTTAGTAATTTTATATACTACTTAACCATTAATGAACGACTAAATATTTAACATATAAGAGGGTTTTTTGTGGAAATTTCTAGTAATTTTTTATATAGTTGAAATCATGAGTCTATTGAAACTAGACCACCATGGAAAACCTGGAAGCACTGGATGGTCGTTTCGTCCTATTGTGGGACTCCTCAACAGTGCACATCAATGAATTAGATTAACATTATATGATTGTTCTAGATAGTTGATAAAATTTAATAAAGAAACAATAAACTAATTCAGTAGGTTGTTTTTATTTATTTATAGAACATGACAAATATACAGAAGATAGTTTAATAAAGAGGTTACAACGATGTTATGATGAGTGTGGTATTGATTATTTCTTAGTGTAATAATTAAATATTCAACTTTTAGTTAATAAATAGCTAGCTTAATTTTCTCTTTGGTTTATATAAGATTGTGAAGATTGTTGAGTTTTAATTGAGATCATGAACCTGTCAGTTTTAGACCAGCATTGAAAACCTGGAAGCATTAGATTGGTTAGAGTTAGACATTAACTCTGTTGGATGTCGGATCAGTGGTCTAAGGGTTAAAAGTTCGCGTACCAGACCGAAGGTTCTGGGTTCCAGTCTCGCGTACGAGGTCGTGAATGAACGCTGCCAAGAAGTCCTGTACCAGAACAAAACGGCAATTCGGTGCTTCCAGGTTTTCAATGATGGTCTAATATTTATTATCTGTTTACATATAATTAATATAATTTATAATCTATTATGTCATTATATACAGTGAAATAAAAAAATTTCATACTACACTAAATGTCATTCAATTCATCTGGCAAGTACAAGTTATCGGGATCAGCTTGAAATCAAATGTTTTTTTGTAGGTATGTAGGTTTACGTTAACTAATAATGTTATAATGGATTTCCTAAATAGAAATAATTGAACTTAAGTTTGAACTTTCTACCATTTGATATAAAATTCAACAAAACTCTATCTTTCAAAAGTTAATTTCTAAAGTTCTTAGTTAGTTTTTGCTGAGATATCTAGAGTCATATTACTTAGATACATGTTAATAGATGCAGTTTTTGCTTCCAATAGATAAACAAATTAGATGTTTGTTTAGTTTAATCACTCTTTCTCTCTCACTCTCTCCCTCTCGCTCCCAAACTGATTGTTTTCATTAAAGAAGGCCTTGGTTTGCAAATGATCTAATTATCATGTTTCCGTAGTGTTATGCAATCAAAATATTATACGCATATCCATAACCTAAACTTTTACTGTTTACCTTCATTCATTTGAAGGCCAGTTTCAGAAATAATTTGAAGTTTAGTGAAAATATTCATCAATACCATCATCTAACATCTTATCAAGAGAATAACTCTTATTTTTCGCAGGTACCTTTTCTTTTTCACAAACATACTAGATATTTTAAACATCGATTATAAAAAGAAAACAGGACAATAATTTAGATTTACTATTTCCTAATAGTAATTCAATTAATATTTAAAATAAGTCAATTTAATAGTGAATACAAATAGTCTACTGTTTCATTTAATAATTAACTAATACTTTCAAATATGAACCAGTTAAAAATTCCCTCTTGATAGTTTACAGTCAGTGTACTCTTCATGAGTAATCCAGACTTTATATATTTGCTATGGAGTAGTGTATTGAATAACTTTGGACGAAGGTGAGATAATCGTTCGATAATCCTCAAGCTATGATGACAGTTATGGTGATGGCCATGATATCACTCTATAATTAAGATGTCATAGTTGAAAACAAATGAGTTACAGGCTAGAATACATAAATCTAATAATAATAATAATAATAATAATAATCCATTTGCCATATTTATTTTCTGGAGGAATTCTTTCCCATTAATATTAACATAATATTTGGCGAATATAGTTATTTCACCATTATTTTTCAGGGCTCTTTAATAGTACCCACTTGCAAATGTGTACGCTATTAAAGCTAAGAATCCAATTCAAGTATAATATAAATCTGCTTGATAAAAACTAAATACGCTATGATTAGTAATAATAATATTAATAGTAGTGATTATAATTCAATGTTTTACAATTTATTTATTTCAGGTGAACGTCCGTATATATGTCGACATTGTGGTAAAGCTTTCTCACAAAATGGTACATTGAAACGACATTCACAGACATGTAAAGCTGCTTATAATAAAAACAACAGTAACACTAATATCAATAATAATGATCATTATAATAATAATGAGAATCGAGATGCTCATTTCGATCAAAAATTCCCCATGTCTACTCCTACTACACATCATCAATCATCATTCATTAAGAACATATCAAATAATATTACTGATCCAATTAATTTGAAACCATCAAATTTTTCAACATTGTTATGTGATCCAATTGATGGATTATCTGATAATGAAGGTCAAATGAATTTATCACAATCCATAAGTAACAGTAATCATGTAAAAACCACTTTACCTACTACAATGAATAGTATAAATACTACTATGAATATCATAGAAAATAATAAAACTAATGTAAATAAACTATCTAATCAATATATTTATCCTGAACTAAATGAAAAACAAATACATGTAAGTTATTTAAATGATAATTGTTTGATTTTAAACAAGAAATTGTTTTATTTTGAAAAGAATAATTAGTTTTATCAAACAAATGAATGAATCTTGTAAAGATAAGCAAGAGTAACATTTCGGTTGGAATAATAATAGTTTGTATGGATCTTCTTTATCAAAAAAATTCTACTTTTCTCAAAAATAGGTGCTTTTCTGTGATGATGGGTTAATTATTTGTCCCTGTTACTACGCCTGGAACATAGATCATCAACCACGATCCTCCAACCAACTCTGTCATAGGCTCTCCTTTCCAGTTATTCCCATGTGCTATACATTATTTTGATGTTCACCTCTACTTCCTAATTCAATGTGTTCTTTGGTCTGCCTCTTTCCCTTTTCCCTCCAGGGCTCCATGTTAGGGGTTGCTTTGTGATACAGATTGATAATTTTCTCAATGTGTGGTGTGTCCTACCCACTTACAGTGTCTATTCCTAATTTCCTCATCAGTTGAGAATTGGTTTGTTCTCTCCCACTACAGGTTTTTGCTGATGGTATCCGGATTATCTTACATTGCCAGCTGTTTATGAATACCTATACCTTTTTGTTGAGGATTGTAGTGGTTCTCCAATTTTCATCTCTGTAGCATAGAACTTTCTTGATGTGTGTATTGAGGAGTCCAATTTCAGTCTTGGGTGACATTTGTTTTGAGTTGCAGATATTCTTCAATTGTCGGAATGTTTGGTTATGAGTGCATTAAAATAATCAAATATTTTAAGTAGAAGTTTAATACACTCTTACCCTGAAGGATTTAAATTTGATGTACTCATAATTACATTTGAATACCTCCGTCTTAGAAGATATTAAAATTGGGCCACTTGCAATATATTTCAACTAAAATCTTTTCACTATAATTACAACTTGTTAATTTTGTGAACCGAATTTCATGATCATCTTTATTTGGATTCTATAAAGAACGTTGCTTAATCTAAAGAATCATTATTTTGTAATGAAAATGTCCTAACTTTCGTTGTTAACTGACATTAGTAATAGTTTTCAGTTGTTATCTTTTACTGGTTTCTTGGTTGATTTCAATTTTCAACGTAAAATATCAGTATAGATTAAATCCAATTAAATAATAATTATGTAAGTAACTTCTAGATAAAAAATTCTAACGTTATAGTAAATTGTCGTGGTTGTATTGCTTCAGTTATAAAAAAAATTTGAGACCACTAAATTCGGACTTGGTAGACTCAAAAAGTATAAGACTTCCACAAATACAGTATATTATGTATAATGTTCTTTTCGATAGACAAATAAACAACTCTTAGTTTCCATTCGTGTATGTAAATAACATTTCATAATAATATAAGACTGAATAAACTTAATGAAATGCGTCGAAATAGTGTATATGATCATATGACAATTGTGACTATCAGTAATTTTATTCATACCTTAAAAGGTTGTCTTCTTTTCTAAACTAAATAACTGAATATCTACAACATATAAAGAATCTAGCATAATGAACATTTAATTCACAATAATCGATTATTACAGAGTATTTTATTTGATGTTTGTTTAATCTTCTAGTGTTAACCACATTTTACTGGTCGATTTACAAGTTAACGACTAGTCTAATTGACTCTTGATTGAGTTCACCTTGTTAAAATGCTAAGTAATTGGAAGTAGTCGGTTGGAAACTTAAAAAAAAATTAAGTTTCATGCATGTTAACACTTACCATCAAGTTGGGAATGCTATGTTGAGGGGTTTCGTGAAAATTGTCGTGATATTCTAATAACTTAAAGCACTGGACTGTTTCGTAGATGATTTCATCATCAATTCCTTCTAGTCAAATGTGTACTATCAGTAGTCTTACGTACAAGGTGTATCATTTAATATCAAATATTTGATCATTGTACTGCATTAAATTAAAACTAACTAGACAAACAAAATTAGAAAATAATTATATTTAATAGTAGAGATTACATAAATAAATAGAATTCCAATAGGATTTTTTAATTAAATTATTCATTTACATAATTAAAGTTAATTGCCAACAGTGTCAGTATGACGACAATAATTTTGAGGTAAACACTTACGTTCAAAAAATGTGTGTAAAGTTGTTTTTTTTCTGCAAAATAATTTTTTATCGAATTATAAACCTACTTTTATATACAAATATATTTTTGTAAAAGCTAGTAGCTATCTGGACTCAGTAGCTAAGTGAATAACGCATTGGCGTTTGAAGCGAAAAGGATTGAGTTTGAGTCCAGGAGTGTGTATTAACTCTGGGATGCAGGTACATCCAGTTGATAAATACTAAATAGGACGAAACGCACATTCTGGCTCCTACTACTAACCGCCATCCATCTCCGCATAAACCTACCTGACTTGATAAAATGTGTTAGAAATATGGAATCACTGAATGATTGTAATGCTTTACCTCAAGACACCTTAGTGATCAATAGATACACAAGATATCATATAAGATGGAACTGAAGATCTTTAATTCTCACCTTTTGAATACAATATAGTTGTACTATTAAGTCAGATATGTTATCTAAACGATAAGATAGATGAATGTTGCATACATATCAATAATTTGTATGCACATAATTTAACTGATACGAAAAAGTTTATTGACTAAATTTAGATCATTTGTTGACTGATTCATTCAAGGTCAAGATTAAGGACAATGAATTGTCTTCTCGATGTGAACATAACACTTATCTATAAGTGTATGCTCACATAAACTTTGCGGCAATTTCAATAAAAAATGATTAACGGTTTTCTCTAGAATAGATATCAGTTTAACCATGTTATTTGTATAAATATTAACACTACGATTGACACGGGTAAATTGATCCAATCAACATACCCAAATTAACTGATTAACCAATAACACATTCACTATACACCATACTTAGAATTATACTTGCTTGTAAAATGATGATCGACAGGGAACCCTAAACCTAAGTTTCCTTCTATTCACCACTCGTCAGTAAGGTATACCTGTATTCTTCAAGGAACTGATGCTTATTTAAAAGTCAGAAATGCTATCCTCATCCAAACAGAACAATATACAGACTTCCTAATCGATGTCATAAATAAAATTAATTAAATCAGTTAGTCATGGATAAAGATATTCGGTCCGTTGATAGCTCTTTTTCTTCTAGGCTTCATTTTAGTTGAATACAATGATGTTATCAACTAGTTCCTAGTTTAGTCTTTTGCTTCTTTTTAGCAAATATTTATCTGTATCTTTGTATGCAGAATATTACGATTTTTCCCAAAATTACTTCTCTATTTGATTCGTGTTTATTCTAAAGAGCAGAGAATCTCCAGGTCACCTTATAACAATGTGGTAATAAAGCTTTGTTGTGTATACACAATAAAAACTTTGTATTCCTCTATTTCAATATATACCTATGTGTGTGTGTCTACGTTTACGTGTATGCATGTTTTGACTGAAAAAAAGATGTACCTATAAGTCATTGTAATCGCTCACCCATACCATACATATATTAAGTAACTAACAGATCGATTAGGTAACGTCATACCACCATACATTGTTTGGATAACATAAGATTTGTGGTCTGAATTACGTACTATCTAACACACATATAGATACATATGCAAAACTGCACACATATATGCATACGTTTTTCACGTCTCTAGCTTAATTCAGCTTTAATTCTGTTATTACTGATTACTACTGGGTTTTTGGTCTGTCCATCTGCTCAAACACTCTGCTCTAAAATATAAATATATATTTACGAATTTCCTATTCATTTTCATTCCCTTCATCTGAACAACATATTACCACCACCCCATCAATGTTTTAGTCAGTTTTATCGATATGAAAATTTCGCTTTGTTCGTGTGACAGCCCCATGAGGCATGAATAACATCCTGTAGTATCTAACATATAAGTTCCGTGTACAACTTTTGCAAGCCATGTTTTTAAAATCGAACTCACGTAATAACATAACCCTCTTTGTTATAATGACAGCCGCTAAGCTTATTATTAATAAGAAAAAAATTTGTCTGACTCACATATATATTTACCATACTACTTATTTACTACCTAATGTACGTAGTATGACCTCAAGGGAGAAAAGGGTAACCTAATTCATGGGATTTGTATGCGTGTATTGAGAAGAGAAATATGAGATATAAAGACAGTCAATGTACAGTCAAGCGCAAAAATAAATAATACATTATCAAAAATATAAATTCGGTCACACTTTTATACATCTATTACATTTTATGTATGTGTAAATATGAAACTATTATCAATGTATACACTACTTTTCTCTTTTTAATTTATATATTTCGTCTAAAATAATATGTATGTATATGTATATGTGTGTGTGTCCATGTACACGCCTGAATGAATCTATCTATACATGTTTGTTGATGGCGTACGCATGCAATTATTTTCTTTACTACTTAAAATTCGGTGTTTATGTTTTTTTTCATCTCTCTCTATCTCTCTTACCTCCGCTTTTGCTTTCCTTATAATTTTCATTGTATATCATGAGTGAACGATGTTACAAATTGTAAATGGTAGACTTTATATATAAATATATTGAGTAAATCTATGCGTAATCATTATCATCTCTACCTCTCTCCATCTTCATATCTTTCAATGTGTACCGACCTAACTACCTATACTCGACTAAGAAACAGAAAAAAAGTCAGGCATATGTAGATAGTAGAAATTTATTCGAGCTTATACATACCCACATGTATATTTGGCAAAGATACAATATTCATATTTGCTCATTATTTCTATTACAATCATTATTATTACTATTAATGATAGTAATAACTGCTGTTAATCGTGTTTAGTTTGAGCATAGTTCTATAAACTAGTACAAACGTGAAAACCAAATAAAAATTGACATTCATACATTCAGCTTATGCATAGGGATATAATATATACACATATATGTACGAACAAAACTACTACGCACGAATAAGAATGTGAATTACAAGGTCGAATTAAGGTCGTACCT